ATATAGTTTTCAATATTTTTATTGTATAATGTGATAAATTTTATTCAATATTTGCTTGCAGAATTGTATGAATTTAACTTGGATGAAATTTTAAATACTATTTATTGATGTGTGTATTCAAAATAGTTTGTATGAAGTTCGTTCAAGTGTTTAGTTATATTCATATATATTTTTAATATTAGGTTGACATTTTCTATGTTCTTAATTTATTTTTTTGTGAAATTAAATTTAACTCTTGTCAAAACTACATATATCAATCATAGCTAAGATTAAAAATTTTAATATTTGATTAATTTTATAATATATACAATATAATATATCAATCTTATATAATAAAACATTTTTTAGCTTCAAAAATGAATCAAGGTTTTGGATCTACATTATTTTATTAAAAATTATAGAGTTGAAGCATTTAAAATACAAGGTTTTTAACTAATATGATTATTTAATATCTAAAAATGTATATTAATGCACAATGATTTTAAGTTGTGGTTTGAAAATTGATTATTTTGCATCAAATTTATAATCTCTATGTCTCAATTAATCCATTGTGTATCATTTTTTTCCAAGATTTGTTGAATTTGCAAGCTTAATTATACTTTTAACAAAAACCTTTTAAGATTCTATTTGTCAAAACATTTTGGTCTTGTTATAGTATTAATCTTAAAAAATATAAAAATCACCTACAGATATATTCATTACAAAATAATCCATTTTTTTATAAAAAGAACTGTTATTTTTTATAATTTTAGATGATTTTGATAGAAATAATTTTTTTATATCAAGTTAGTTGTGTAATTAATCATCATGTGTTTTTGCAATTATCTTTGAATGATAGATGTTCATTTTTGAATAATATAGATCCTAGTTGTTATTTTTTAAAACCATTTGTTGTATTTATATTTTTGATTTTAATCTCAAATTAATAATTTTGAAATTATGTTATTTATTATTTCCTAAATTTTTTCTTGTCATGAAAACTTGGATTTGGAGTTTCAAATATTTTAAAAAACACATGGATTAAAAAAAGAGTAAATCAATTCCTTATGAGAATCACATATTTATATGTTGGATTCAATTGCATTTTGAATATTATGTGATCCATATTTGAAATATGATTATGCATTATTTATTGCAATTATATCATTAAAAAACTCTTAATCTTCAAAAATGCAAATCAATGTATGCAAGTATACATTTTAATTAAAATATGTATGTTTATTACTTTGCAATTTTGCTACTCATTTAATTTTTTATTGTGCGCAAATTTTATTTTCAAAAGACAAAATTTGTGAAAAGCTAGTTTAACATCTACAATATTTATTTTCCAAATGCATTTTGATCAAATCAAACTTATATCCATTCAAGTTCCTTTTTCACGCATTTGAAATCAAAAATTTTAATCAACTTGAAACATAGCTAACATTGTAATAATAATTGTTGAGACTATCATTTTTCTTCAATTTTTGTATCCAAAAAATTTCATTATAAAAATTAAAAAGCTCTCTCTAATGATACAACAAATATTATCATTTTCATGAAAAAAATTATGCGCCCAACTTTCACAAATTTATTAAATCTATTTTGACCAAAATTAAAATATTTGCATAAAATTATCAATTAATGTTCAATTGACTGTTATGTAGATCACAATGTTTTTATTTGACAAAAAAATTGAACATTATGTGTTGAATAAAAAATTATATCATTACAATCTGTGTTACATAACATATCTTGATTGTGATGTGCAATAAACTTGTCAACATTTTGTTGAAATTTTTTTTGGGATATTATATAATTAATAACTTTGCTTGTGTTAACAGCCATCATGTCACTAAGATTTTGCCATTTTCTACCTAATCTTCGTAAGTTTATCTATAATCTATGATATTTTTAAAACAAATATATAAAAGCACAATGTTTCATCTTTGCAAATATTTCAATTATTTTTAAAAAATATTTTACTTGTGTATATTTACCTAGGTTTCTTCATGCATAATTTTTGCTTTACATTATATCACAAGATCTGAATTTTATGTACTTTACCAAACACATGAATCACTTCATTAGTTCAATTAGTTTGAAATTTGATAAACATAATTCTAATCAGTTCATTTCAGTTTCAAAAATATTTATGTGTAAGAAATCAACTAAGATTTTGACTGATTCTAGCTAGTTTATATATTTTCAACTAATATAGGTCTTACAACTTCGTATTAAGAGTTAATGGTATTTCATGTGACAAAATTAGGATTTTTATAAATTAATAACTGTAATCCATGCACAAAGTCTTGTAGAGTTTATCTGCATATTTCATTGCGTTATTTTGTTATGATTTGATTCATGTGTTTGTTAAAGTATATAAAATTCAGATCTTTTTATATAATGTAAAGCGAAAATCGTGGATAAAGATATCTAGGTAAATACACATTAAAAAATTATTTATAAAAATTATTAGAATCTTTTTAAACATCAAATGAAAATATAAAATCAAGAGGCTAAGAAAAAAAGGATTCCTATTGTAAATATCTTTGTACTCCAAAACCTAATTCTGAAATAGATGGCTTAGGAGTAAATGGAGAGGAAAAAGACAAACACACATTCCATGCATTGGTCAAATTTTTTTCTTGTATCCAGTATAGTTTTTAAAAATAATCTTTTGTATGTGTAAGAGACATGGTTCTAATACAGTAATCAAACTACATCAAATTCTGTAGGGTGCGAAATTTATGAAAGGTGAAGGGAACAGATTATAGTATTTTGCAACAGAAATTCAAACCAGTCACATCATCGCACAAAGAATTGATTTACATCAGAGAGGGATGCTCATGAATCATAATCTGATGATGTAAGTTGTTGGGTTGGGCTAGGTGGGATATGTCATGATTCATGGAACATATCGATAGCTAGTTGATGCTACCACCCGCTTGATTCCATGCATCTACTGAGCCACGTCTATTATGCAGGTTTCCCATCGTTTGTGCTATATTTCTAAGTTTCATTCCATTGAGATGATTTCGCATGGAAGTGCTTTTCATGCAGTCTACCCACACGGGAACATGCATTCGAGCACCCCACACTTTGTAGGTCTCCACGGCCTACCCACCTTCAACGCCCGCCCGACCCAAGGACGTTCATCTTTCGATCGGATTCTCTCGCAAAGGCGGTCACGGAGGGACTCTGCTCCAGCATAATTGTGTGGGCACGGACTTCCATAGCACTCATTCACGACAAATAGTCGTCATGTCCTCGTGATCCATCCGTCAGAGCTATCCAGTACCCACCAAAAGATGTTACTCGATAGCAGAACCCTCGATTTAGAAAGCCCCGCGAGATCTGCAGATGCTCCAATCGGAGTCGAATGAAAACAGTCCTATTAAAAACCTTCTGATCTTTGACTGGGTTTGGGAATTTCAGCCAATGCTCTCGCCAGGGGGCGAATTACGCCCAACTCTTGGAAGTGCCCGATATAAATGCCAAATTGGCTTCAACTGCCCTACTATTATAGGGGGCAATGCGATAGCGATCGGAGACCAGGACGTCCTTCCAATCTCGTCGAGATCGCGATGATGAGGATCTCAATAATTATTGTCCTCATTACGACCTCATTCGTGAGTGGGTCAAGTGTACGCAGTCAAGGGCAGCCGAACTGCGACCGGGGTCCAGACGTTTTGGCGGCCTTAGGCACATGTGTCCGCAGAAATATCTGGAACCACTCGCTAACTAGGGTAGAGGCGATGATGTGGGTTACAGACGGTCGGGTTACCGGCACCTCGGGATCGAACCCTGAAGGGAACTCCTCTTTCGGCGCAGAGTACCGAGAAAAGTCAGAAGGAGATAGAGGAAAGTCGTGAAGAGGCAGAGGAAAGTCGTGAAGAGGTGACGGCCCGTCGCGCCCTTAACAATCCCGTACTGGTCATCTGACTCGGTCGCGTCGCGAGTCGGCGCAACGTCGTGAGACGTTCTCTCCTTGGGTCAAGGTTCTCTCAGGGGACCGTGTTCTAACCCTTCTGACACTGATGTCTGAACGACGACGGAGGGCCTCGTCTAGAAATTCAGAGTAGCTCGGGTACGCCAATTTAGAGCGGACGTATCGGCAAAAGGCATTTCGGCCTTCTCTCCAATTCTGAGCAACTCTGGTCATCACAATTCTGAATTCAGAAGTCCTTTTCAGACTAGTCTATCACAGTCCCACCCTTCTGGTGTATAATTTATCTCGCCGATACTCAGCTCGCTGCAAAGGTCACCACCACGTGATGGATCCTGATCCGTATTTGAGCCCAACAGCAATAATCGTCAGGCATGTGCGAAGCTTTAAAAGGAAGAGTTGGCAGGCACAAAGGGAGAAAAATCACTGAGTGCGGAGCTTTAGGATTTGAATACAACAGAACGACATCACTTTCAAGTACGGAAGGGTTGTACACTCTGTGGCTGTACCTATGTTTACCGACCCAGTTAGCTGCCAGAGTCGCGAGAGATGAAAAATGGCGTTCAACGATGAACCGAAAAGTCAGTCACTTGGAGGATGCTGTGGACTGTAGGCATTGATAAAACAAGATTCCTCTCAGGTACAACAACTCTGATAGTCCAGTTGCTAAAGTAAGAGTAGGAGTAGCTGGTGAGCCTACGGAGTTGTTTGTCAATTGAGGGGAACCACATTCGGCCGACAGAAGAGGGAGATGTGGATAGGACTTTCCCGTCGAGTGAAAGCTAGTGCTGAAAAGTCTGCTGAAACTGAAATTTCAGAGTTTCATGTCTTCAGGAGACTTGGATTTCGTTGCTGAACGTGTTCTACAAGGAGCCCTGCGGAGTTAGCTGAGATTGCGTTAGCGGCGACTACATCGACAACGCCTCTACCCTGAGAGATGATGCAACTACCAGCCGTGTACATCTAGACAGTCACCTGATTTGTATCTGTAGTTGCCGCTCAACAACCATCAAGAGACGTAGATAGCGTGACTGCTCCCGTCCTCTTGTACGTGAGTGATCCTGTTCGGATTGGGACTGTTGGAAATTGAGTGAAGATGGCATTCTCAAACGAGAGGCAGCAGCTCGACCCGACAATATGAATGCCGACCCTTGTGTTCGGTAGCTGTCAGCAGCAGTTCTTCGCTCAGAGGCTTACAGATTGATGAGGTTCCAAGGTTTCTGAAAACCATCGAAGCGAAGACTAAGCCCGTGGAGGCCGGTTGCAGCTCAGGAAGGCTATGGCGGGTGGGAAGATGTGGAGACCATTGCTCGCTCTCTGTGCTGTACTGGTCCATGGAGTGCTCGTGGACTCTGTAAGCGTGAACATAGTGAACAAGCTCGGTGAGCCTTTGTCATACGACTGCGAAGCGGGAAGCTATGCCGATGCGAGTATGGCACCTCCGAGTGGGACTCTGACGGATTCTCAGAAGGTCACGATATACATGGGCGTACAGGGGAGTAGATATTGCAATTTCTGGTTCGAGAGCTGGAACTCAGGGGACTTGTACCAGCTCGAATTTCACGTCTGTCACTATCATGCAGAGGAGCCCGATGATGTCTACGAATGGACGTTTAGGAAGACTGGGATTTATCTCTCCGACTCCGATTTCAAGCATCAGTGGCGCATCACTCGAAGCTTTGCGGGTTACACTTGGAGTAGCGAGTGAAAGCAGAGTGCGACCTTCGTCACCTACCCCGTTGTCATGGGCAGTATTGAATACAGTTTTCCGACCTTGACTTCAACCTTGTGATTGAGGATAGGTCAAGAATAGAATGCGTCCTGTGAGCATAGTTCTTAATTTGTATATAGTGAGCTCCATCTTTGCTCAATAAGAGACTAGCCTTTTTTTCCTATGTCTTATCTGAGCTCCCATCGCGGTGATTCTTGTCTGTTATTGCTCTGCACCCTCACAAGTTACAGAGGCCGAATGGGTATCTGTTGCTGAGGGATGCTTTAGACAGAAGAGACTACAACAGAGTTTCGTTGACACTTCAACTCGTCGATATTCTAGTCTGTAGATATGGTGATTTCAGGACGCCCTTTCTGAATACGAGGGACGTCTCAGATACATGTTATGCCTTAAGGAAATGGCCGAAATTATGGACGGACCTCTATTTTGACAGCTTTCTTCCTTGCCCGACGAGAACAGTATCATCTAGTCCCTTTTTTCTGGAGGTCCTGAATAGGAATGTCGAGTTCCAGAAAGTCGTAGAGCACTCGAAATTCGAGTCGTTCAGTTCTGTCTAATGAATTTTCTCTGAAACACTCGAGCAGCGCTCACAATGTCCACCGGGGGAGACGATGGAAACATCTCAGCAAAATGTAGGAACAAGGCAATGTGAAGCCCAGCTCGTGAAGAAGAGGATTTTGTGTCCGTTTGCAGGAATTGCGCATGCTGGAATCTAGCTTTCGTTGTAGCACCTGAGATATGAAATGATAGATTTCAAGTTTCATCCTGTAAATGGGAAGCAGGGTATCCAAGTGAAAACGTGGGGGAATCGAGGAGATGAAAAATCTCAGACAGATGACTTTCACCTCGTCAAATATTCTCCAACTTGTATGATAACACGCCTGGCTGATGTTGGAGAAAGGAGGAGAACATGGACTTCAGAACCCATCTCAAGAAACTGAAGTGAGGTATTTGTGCCCAAGGCAGACGGGGTTTTTTGTAATTTCAATGAACAGAATATATCTTAGACCGTTTCAGATTGATTCTATGAGCGATGGTGTCAACCCATTCGAACCCGTCCTGAAAGGTGATGCGACTGAAGTTTCCACCTTTGCATTCGCATCTGAAGTCGAAGAGGAATCCCAGAATCAGTCTTAAGAAACGTGCTTTGACTATTCTTGATATCTTCACTGAGCGTAAGATTTTACTCCGTTGAATCTCCAAGGTGAAACGCTAGTGTTTCTTTTTGTTGTGCTTATTGAGGCTGTATGAAGTGTCCCGACTTGTGTTGAAAAACTGCATAGATTGACCATTTCCACACTATCCACAGAAGCAACATGTAGAACCACCTTCAGGTATTAGTTTTCCACGAAATACATTGATTCACAGAAGAGTCGCTAGAATGAGAACATGACCCCTAGTCCCGAAACTTCTTTTATCATAGGACCATATCCCCTAAAAAAGGCATGTTTGTACTTTCTCTTCATATTGGAAATGAATGGAAGAAGAGAGAAATAATCTGCTCAAAGCAACAATTATAATATGGAAGTATGAACAAAAACCACTGTCTTCTTTTCTATGTTATTCATCCAAATGAATAGTAAGAGTGGCCGTGTCGCTCATGTAGCGTAAAGGTAGAGGACGAGCAGGTCTTTCGGGAGGTAACCTTGTACTGTGTGCCGCGGACGACAGTTGTATTCAACTTCCACAATTAATGTTGATGTCGATATGCTGTGCCGTCGAGAACTGAGTGCTGTTTCATTAGTTAAATGAATTGGAAGGTTTGCCGAAGGTAGGAACGGAGTGAGTGATAGGAAGTCGTGAGCATTTCCAGTAGCTCGCCAATGTTACAAGTGGACGGTGTGAATAATTAGTATATGTGGGATTAGCTGGGCTTTCACTACTCGAAGCTCTACGACAAACCTGTATCGACCTCCAGATCGAGGCTCTCTCACTCTCGTGTAGTCCTTCTCAAGAACGTTCCTTCCAAAGTCCGTCTTGCGGCACATCACTTGCTTCAACCAACTTACGAACTGTACATCATCGTGTATCATAGTATTTTCTGCCGTAACTTATATGTGAACTTCAAGAATGACATTCGATGTCAGAAAATAATTGCGGCCACGTACGCGAAGTACATTGAAGAACACGGACTTTGTACCTGACTTTGGAATTTGCATTGCAGTAATGTCGGGGAGGACTGCTTGTTTCATTCCGTGTCTGTGAGCCAGGTCTCTCCTCATGACAAGATCAGATTTTATATCTCACTGTCCTCACAACTTTGACGCAGCTTATTGCAAAGCAGAGATTCTGACCTGCAAAGATTGTAGTATCCATTGCGAAACTGCCAGCCAGTTGGGAGGAGGTCAAATCTCCCACTTGGCGGCAGGAACCATTAATAGACATTAATGCATTTAGGTGTTCGTTTATTACAAAGGATGCACCAATCCACTGCAGTCATGCCAGTTGACTCAATCTGGATTGCTTTTCACGGATATTACTCCAGATGAATTGTCTTAACTGATTCTATCACTTTCCAGTTGAATCAATCAGAGGAGATCATCAGCAATTTAAATGTATTTCATCATTTTCCAATCAAATAGGACTTGAGGATGAGGCGCATCAGCAGTTCAATTAGGGCTCTTTGAGAAATTACACAGTGAAGATTATGCGTTGTAGTTTATAATTGCCATCCTATCTCGGAGATCATGGAAACCCGGCAAATCTTCGCTTCTATTTAATCACGCCTACAAATCGGCTTCGGACCCTTCGTTTCTATCTCGGTAATGCGATCCGGCACACTAGCCTCGGCTCTTGCTTAAATATACCGCATCCAACGACGTAACAAAGGTATTGTTGTATTGTTACGCGTGGTTGCTGCTTACCACGCGCAGCAAAAGTGGGTCCGATATTTTTTGCACGGCTTGAGTCTCGACACCTGGCCTCAAATTTCCAACTATAAACTCGTTCGTCGTCGTAAAACTCTGTCACTGCAGTTATAATAAATTTATCTTGAAGATCTCCGAAGGGGACGTGGTTTGGCCTAACGTCATCACGTAGAGGCCAGGTCTATATGAGGCCAGGTCTATATGATCTCAAACCGTACCACATGAGTTTGATTAGTCTCGTCACACCAACATTAGACATCTCAAGCTTAGAAATAGGCACGTGAATACCAACAATACTGCTTACTCTAGGTTCGTTTCATTATTTCACCACCTAATAAACAGGAAAAGGGCGAAATATTTCCAATGATTTTAGCCTGCTCTATGGTATACTGTTTCAATAAATTTTTTTACTTACTAATAACTTGTTTTTCAATCGTATGTCACGAAGCGGACGTGCCGGAGTGGTTAACGGGATTGACTCGAAATCAATTGGGCTATGCCCGCGCAGGTTCGAATCCTGCCGTCCGCGCTTTTTGCTTTGCACTCCGTAATATGAACCGTAATATTGAACTCGATGTCGTCGCTCTCTTGGGAGTTGTGGGACCGATCAAATTGCCGAAACCTGTAGTATTGCTTATATTTAAGTCATCATTAGGGGGACATAGATGCTGCCTCTCGCTTTGATTTACACGGAGGAGGCTGGTGCCTTTCATCTCTGGACCGATCAAATTGCCGAAACCTGTAGTATTGCTTATATTTAAGTCATCATTAGGGGGACATAGATGCTGCCTCTCGCTTTGATTTACACGGAGGAGGCTGGTGCCTTTCATCTCTGCTAAAGATTGCTACTACTCTATGGAGATGTGGAAAATGTTTCGAAAATCACAGGCTACGTGAAGTCCTAAGCTGTGGTATGCATACCTAGAACTACCTAGAACTGGGAGCGATAAGATCCAAGAACTAGCTCCACATGATACACGTGGATGAAAAAAAATGAATGGCTGGAGTGAATTTAATATATTCCATCACCCACCTCTAGACTCTGCTCCAATACGACCCTGAAACTTAGAATTTGTGAAGTACATATGAATGAGATATTTGAGAAGCAGATCGGTGAGCAAATCTATGTTTCGAATCACTTCGCTTTTGTGATACTCTTGGGCATGGCCCCCGAGTGAGGCTTCATGGTTTCTTCCCATCTTTTTCGGTGTTTACTTTGCCCCCTTATATTCTTCAGAGACACGGATGTAGAAAGTGAGACATGGAATGGAAAAACATATAATAGGAAACTATATTGAGCTAATGGACACTAGCTCAAAAAGGGGGTGTAGCTCACATGGTAGAGCGATCGCTTTGCATGCGATAGGCACGGGGATCGATGCCCCGCACCTCCACGCTGACGACGATGGGAAGATGTTGTAAATCAGAAACCTCATCTATACCACACCTTTTCTGATGATACTTTTACACTCTGCCCATACAAAACCTAGAGAACCTACCAAGAACATGAACGGGTACAATTGATGGTAACTAGTACTAAGCAATTGAAGACAATTGCCAGCAAGAGAATGGGGGAAGAATCTACATGCAGAATGGAGAGTAACATTATTATAAAGCCCGCACCTCCACGCTGACGATGATGGGGAAATGTTAAAGGTTCATCAACTTTTGAAAAAAACACCAATCGATCACACTTTTTTTGATGATAATTTTACACTCTGCCCATACAAAACCTAGAGAGCCTACCAAGAACATGAAGGGGTACAAATGATGGTAACTAATACTAAGCGATTGAAGACAATTGCCAGCAAGAGAATGGGGGAAGAATCTACATGCAGAATGGAGAGTAACAATATTATAAAGTGGGCCCATAACAATAGCACAGCTTTGGAGAATTCAGCTCATGAGGTACATAAGATGCAATTTTTTACAAACATCGGACTTCATGGACATCTAAGCACAATACGAAGGTACCAAGCTAAACAAAAATACATTATATGCAATTTGAAATTGGAGATTATAGATCATGTCTCTAACTCTGAGGAATAAGTATGTGAAAGCTCAAGACTACATACATTGTATCCATCTTTAGCTACTAAGAACTAAAGAAAGGTTTAATCGAATGGAAAATAGAGTCAAATTTATAGTACACTACACATAGTTGGCATGTTTCAGGCATGTTTCAGAGGCATCATTCAATGTGGAGTATATATAGTTGCCATTCTCCAAAGATATTTGACTAGAGAGTAAAAATTGCCTAAAAAAAGATCTTAATAATAGAAAAAATTGGTATCAAAATATCCATGCAGCATTGAGGTAGCAATACAACTAGCAATGTACAGTGAGGGCAAATGTATTAGTGATTAAAAGGGAATAATGACAAATGATGAAAGACAAAAGAAAAGACGGTGAGAAAAATGGCAAAAAATGAAACCATGAAACTCAGGGATTGAAAAATTGATATGTTTTTTGCTGGATTCAATAAAAACTTTTAGAGAAAGAGTCCAACAAGTTGAGTATAAAAAAAAAATGCTCACAGTGTAGAATATCTTAGTCTGGAACAATGATTGGGATTTTGATTTGAAATTAACAGTGAAGTCTACATTCAACATTTATGTTTGTGATGATTGCAGGAATGACACAAGATTTTTGACAAATCTATCCAACCAAAACAAATTTTACACTGTTTGTTATGTTTGCTTATAAAATGTAAAATAAATTGTAATAGTTTTAAAAACAATTTTGGCTTCCTTAAAAAGATTAGAGATTTGACAAAAAAATGACTTTAAACTTTACATTTTAAAAATTTGCAAGTAAAATCACAAGGTTTATGAAAAAAAAATTTCAACAAAAAGTATATTTTACAACGTGTTTTACATAACATGTTCAAGTTTTAACTTGATCAAATCTGTTTTGAGGAGCATTTATCCATTCAAAAAAGATAAAAATTTGATCTGATATTGATTTTGAAGTCACAAGATTTAAAAAAAATTTGTGTAAACCAAAAAAAATTATGACGCGCTTTTTGTGTTCGTTTTAGATTTCAAGTTGATTAGGTTAGTTTAAAAAAAAATAAGTTTGAGATTATAATATGTGTTGTTAGGAATTGCAGTAGAGCCAATTTTTTAGAAAAATTCATCTTTTTCAAAAAAAATTTAAAATTTGATGCTACAAGTGGAGTTAAAGTTTAAATGCTATATAATTGATCAAATAAGATTTGGTTGTTTCAAGAGGTCTACAAGTCTGACTTGAAGTTGAAATTAAAATCTATATTTTTGAAGATTGAAAATGTGACATTGTTTTTTTAACACATACATTCCTATCAAAAGAAAAATTTAAACGTGTACTACATGTTAGTTCAAGTTTCAAGAAGATTAACAAATATTTTGCTGTTTCAAGAAGATGAGGGATTTGTTACAAAGATAAGAATTAGACATGACTTTATGAGAATGTGCATAAAAGTTAACAATTTTATTTTTTTTTAAAAAAAATCTCGGATGTGATAATATACATTATGAAATTTGAAATTGGATAAATTAAGTTGAGATTGGATTGACTATTCTGCACGGATGATCTGTAATTCACTATGTGATACAATTGAATAATTAAAATTAGACTTAGTGTAAACCAATTTTTA